CTCTTGAATGTGTGTAGTAGTGTTTTGGCTTATAGTACAAAGGGATAATAACGCAAATAATTCTTGGACTTCACTTATATGTGTATTGTGGTCCCTAAACTTTTAAATTGTTTAAAGTAATCTGTGAACTTTGACCCAATGTGTAATACAATTCATGAACTTTTAATTTATTCAATGTAGTCCATGGACTTTTGATACATATTCAATTTAACTTTGGACCATATGAAGACCACATGAAAATATTCAATGTTATATTTTTATTAATTAAAGTTTAGGAAAAATATTAAATATTTTCATATATTTCATAGACTAAATTGAATATGTATCTAAAATCTAGTGATCATATTAAATAAGTTAAAAATTTATAAATTATATATTTATCTAAAATTTAAGGATTATTTGAGTCTTTTTCTCTTGTACTAATCATGTCCCGTAAGGATTGAACTGATTGATGAGGCACGTGGGAGTGGGAAGGTGGAGTGTGGGGAGGTTATGCGGACAGATCCAAAATCATGCAAACCACATTCCAAATCATGATGCAAAAGAAACCCCATTTTGACAGTGCCAATTCACATCATCACATGCACATGATGGCTCTCTTCTTGCAAACGGGGAGTGAAGAAACAGTCATTCAAGACAGTGACATGGCATGCCCATGATGTCCTTCTGCAATGATCAAATTAGTAGCAAAAGGGGCCAATCACAGATCCAATTTGGTCACTGGAAAATTCAACTGCTTGACCGAATGATGGCCATTGATGAGTCCAACACACAGCCCCATGGACAAACAGGATTGATTGATTGATTGATTGATAGGGGGAGGGGAGGGGGCCTCCCCACTAAGTTTCCTCCTCAAAAGGAGAGCTGGAGGGGGTGCCCCACTTTCACCGTCATGTGGTACTAAAGCTAGACAATGGATTGTTCCAACACTTTGTCAAGGGAGAAAAAAGCCTTTAAGATAGCCGGATGCAAAGATTGAAAGGAATATGATAGAGAAAAATAAGTTTTCTTTCTTCCTATATAAGATTATTCGAAGGACAAGGAAAGTGTTGGAAGACGAGGAGGCTCCCCAATTGGAGGAACCGAATGATTGTTTTTTGGACAATATGGAAAGAGTCCATTTGCTAATGTTGCGACTTAGTAAACTGTTGTTGAGGTGCTTTCCTGTCCCTATATTTCACTATGCATGACTAGAGCATGTCTTTGATTTTCAACACATTGGACGTCTCGGAGATGGATAGAGGGGTAGGAATTTATCGAATGAACTGCACTCTTTCGTATGCGCAAGAGTCCGTTGATTAGAAGGGGCGAGGGAAAGCTTGATCCCAATTGTATTTCTTAAAAGGATTTAATCATTTACCTCTCAACAAAGGGTTTGGGGAAGAATGTGCATTCTCATGATTTGTATCCGAGGGCCAATTAAAGTTAATTGAGGAGAAAAAGGAAAAAAAGCTAGTTTTGGTTTTGAGTATGGTAATTCTCTCTAAATGAAGATAAAATTATCTTATTGTATCAAAACGTGTTAAATTAACCTAATCATCTATATGAAAAGATCATAAAATTATGTTTTGGCTGACTGCTGGAAAGTAAATTTTAACTGCTTATATTTTAATTCAAAATTTCTTCATATCCTCTATATCTTGAGCCATTATGGATTTTTAAAAGTAGAAGAAATTGTTGCACCGCGATAACGATTAGATATTATGATATTTGTTTGTATCAAGGTAACAATGCCATAGCTAGCCTACCATTGAAAAAGGGAGGGGTTTCACTTGGGCTAACGGAATCATTTAAATTCCACTTGGTCCATAAGGTGTTATTAAGTAATCCAACGAGAAAAGTTTGTAATCTTCCGTACATTGTTTTTCTTGTGTTATATTTACTCAATACTGAACATCACCTGTTAAGTATTCTTAGTAAATATTTCAAAAGATACTCATTAACAAAATCCGTATTCCTAATTAGAAACGAATTATAAGTTGTTTACTTATAGCTCGCATTTTTTTTCAAACAAGTGGACTGTAGAAGTAAGAAAAGGACTATAATATCTCATGTTGGACTAAGCAATTAAAAAGAAGATAGAGATGTGAAATTGTTTAAAACACTATTGAAATTAGAGGTGAGCATCGAGTCCAATTCAACTTTGGAATGGGACAAAATTGACCTAACTTGCGATTCCAAGGCTGACATCGTCAGTTCTACCTGGGAACCGGTTCAACTCGACTGGCTTGGTCCCTAGTTCAAAGACTAGAATTGTTGGTTCTACCCAAGAACTGATTCAACCAATCCGACTTCAGGGTGGAACCGATTTTGAACCCTCTTTTGAAAAACCAATGCTGTTTCACTCTTTGAAAATTGAACCATGACCTTCAAGATGAATAAACAACAACATAATCACTCGCCAACATATGTTTTTATACTGAAATGGTGCAACTGTTATGAACCGGCTGTTCTGAAATCAATCGATTCGATTTTCGATTCCAATCTTTAGGAATTGGGGGTCAAATGGTCGGTTTTCGGTACCGACCTAAAATCGGAAATCAACCCACCCTAAAGACAATAGCCCCTAATTAAAATAACTCGTATAGTGCGACCGAGCAAGGGAAATACAGCGATTCATCTGACAAAAGCAAAGCCTACTTTGATTATTAATTTGAGCCATCCTCAAAGGTGGTCTGGTTTCCAAAGAAACTAACAACTAACCCTAGCTTTAGCACAGAGAGAATGGTGATGTAATAATCTCTTCTAAAAAAAAGATTATTCTATACTGGCGTGATGTCCGGATTTATAAACTAAAGTGGTTTAGTGGGTATCTCGAGACTTTTAATTAAGATGGGCTAATCATATTAATTTATGGGAGATTAGACAAAGATCTCAATGTGGCAGATCAAAGATATGCTTTTAATCACTTGGAAATCACAGCAACAACAACAGCCCACTCCATTCATTCCATTTATATATAAATATTTATATTTCTTCAACCAATGAGATCATTTCATGCAATATTCCTTTGAGTCCCTCCACAAAGGAGTCAAAGCTTTTCTAAGGAAAAGAAGTATGGGGAAGTGAGCCTCGTGTGTTTTGTTTTTTGGTGTGCAGAACTTTAAATGTTTTCAATCTCTATATTTTATTATGTTAGTAACATATATATATATATATATTTGGTTTTTATGCTTTTCTTATATGAATTTTGTTTTGCATCTTAATGTATACCTTTACTATCTCATTTGCAATGAACTCTTGATGATTACATTAAGTATTAAACTCACAGTTACATGTATTCTCTTTGGTGTTGAGCATATTCAAATTGGTTGAGCAAATTATACTTCAATCTATTACTTTGCCCAAATATTGCATACAATAAGAATTGATAGTATAAATTTTATCATGAGTATGGAAATCTAAGTCGCGAATTCTTTTTTTTTTGTCCTTTCATTTTGGGCCTGTTCAAATTGTTGAATAAGCTTTTATAATAATTCACTTTTCGCATAATAATGTGAGAATACTTGGAATGTATCTAGTTCCTAACTTGTTCAACAAGCCAAAAAAAAATGTGTTGCAATTTGATACCAACTTTGTCACACCCCAAAGTCATATCCAAAATTTAGGGAGTGACTGACCATCCTTTATTAAATGAAGGACGAAGCCTCTAACCAAAGTAGACCATTTTAGACTATATGTAGCTTAACAAAAATTTTCATTGAATGAATATTGTACCAAAATCTATTGTATCGTGAATTTTCAAAACTAGAAATTTATAAATCCCCAATTAATAAATTTTGTTCAAACAAAAGTAAAGTCCCATCTCATCACCCGAAATCGCTCTCCACATGCAACTTTCCTTGTGCTCATAAACTAAAATGGTAATTAAAAGAGGGCGAGCAAAATCAAGGCTCAATAAGTGACGACCACCACTTCCATGGGATCAAGCAATGAACAATGTGGCTTTAGAACGAATGTGTATTCACACGTATCAAGACAATAACATTCATCATTTTTCCCAAGTAGCAAGCATAATGTGTATATCCTCATAAGCAACAAATCTTAACTATGCACCACATCATAATCATACAATATTAGCCGGCATATATATCAAACTCAACCACTGATGTCACGAAAAACCCTACGATCACGCTTCACTATGTGATAAGGTCCGAAATATATCGGCTATAAATAAGTTTCAAAAATCACACCGGCTATGGTCCAGCCTCCAAAATCACGTCGGCCATGAGAAGCTCCTAAACAGAACCGGTCCTCGGTACATATTTATCCCTTTCCTATGCCTAATCACTTAGAAACTCTACATCCAGATCCTAGCTCAGCCTTTGCCACCACAATGCTTGCCACTGCCCCTACCGACCCCACCACCTCGATGCAAAAGACTAGGATTTGTGGGTAATCGAGATTAGGGTTTGTAAGAGATTTGGAGCATTTCAGTGTTTAAAGAAGGCAATTAGGCCTTGAATTCCTCCCAAAGTTGCACATTTATATATTCAAACAGAAAAAAGCTGAAAATGATAACATTATAATAGTATAAAATGGTTTCTGGTGCTTCCTGACATTGATTCTTCGTATTCCATCCTAGCAGAAAAAGAAAAACAGCAGTGGAGCATAACAGAAGACTTTGGAAAAAAGAAATAAAAAGACCTTTCAACTTGACTGAGAAAAAGCAAGTGAGATGAGCACACCGAAACAGATGAACAGGTCAAAATGGGTTTTAAGGATTTTTGGAGTCGTCAGGTTCTCACATGCAAAAAAGCGGATTTGTCCATCCTCTTTTCTCTGTTCGTGTCCATCATCTCCTTTTACAACTTTTTACAAAGATATATCAGCAGTCGCCTCCACTAACCACGCACAGAAAGATCTTCATTCTTGACCCATTTTTGTTCCTTTCTCCAAGTTCCTGGTGAGTTCTTACAGTAATGGATGATGCTCAACTGAGAACAATCAAAACAGACTCAAATTCTGCTGCGAAAATTCAAAAAACCAAGCCATAAATATCCAAAGAACAAATTCTCTCCATAGTCGCTTAAATCATATTCCCCCCCAACTTAATTACATGAATCCATATACCAATGCCATAAAAACGAAAACCCTCCAAGACCATAATAATATTTCATAAAATTCCTCATTTGTATCCCACAAAACTAAACCCAGCACCACCAGTGTATTGTATGGGAAAAATTTGACAAAGAATCTTATAACCTAAAAAGTCGTCGTCGTCAAGAAGCTAATTCCAAACTTTCGATATTGAACCACAGAAACATCTGATCATATGAAGTAAGAGCTCATGGCGGAGGGCCAAATCCTGGAAGATGGGGCAATTGATGATGATCAGATGGGTGGTTAACATTCAGGCCATTTCTATTACTCTCGCCACCGCCATGACCACTAATACCAGCACTTGTGCTTCCACTCCACAAGTTACCATGGTGATGATGTACATGGGAAACACTAGGGCTATTATTATTACTGTTACTACTACTGGTATTAGCATTACTGCTCATGCCGAAGCCGTGACTCCAATCACTCTGAAGAAACTGTGCTTGCTGCTGAATCTGCTGGTGGTGAGAGCTGCTTAAGGAAGCCAAACCTCCAAACCCTTGAAAAAAGCCCATATTGTTGTTGTTATTGCTTGTTGTAGCACCCCCGATGTTGAAGGGCTGGTTCTGGTTGATGGACTGAACAGCAGCCAAAGAGGACAAGAACCCACCTCCCGCATAGAACGAGTAACCCAGATGGCCCTCCCCACCCGCCGCGGCTGGTGGCGGAGCCAGGTTCCCTGCGGCAACGTCCCTGAGGCTTTGAGGCAGGACCTGCAGGGATGAGTGTGGGGTGAGGCTGTCGCCGGAGGAGGCGGAGGCGGATGCGGAGGCGGAGGAGGAGGAGGAGGCCTTGGAGCGCTTGGCCTTCCGGCAGCCGCCGCCGACGGGGACGTTCCTGAGGGTTCCGCCGTGGGTCCAGTAGCGTCGGCAGGTCTTGCAAAAGTAGCGGGGCTGGGAGAGGCTGTAGTTGTTGTAGTAGCAGAACTTGGTGTTCATGGAGTCACAGCGAGGGCACTTCTGGGGCTGGTGGTGCGGCGGCGGCTGTTGCTGGCCGTCCGATTGGGCCGGCCTCGACGTCGGCCTCCGGTCCGGCGGCGGTTGCTTGCTCTCTTGCTCCATGCGTTTCCCGTGATCGTCTCTCTCTCTGTCTCTCTTCGATTCTTTTTCAGAGTTGGGCTATGGGGTTCTCCTTTTATAGCTGAAGATGAAGATGAAGATCAACGTGTCAGCTGATGAAGAATTTCGTACGAAATGTCTTGTTTTTCTTCCTTCAACTTCTTGAGAGAATCTGGGTAATTCAATACACAGAATCACACAAGCAACAGTTCCAGATCACACCCATCAAAACCATACCCCGTGAATCTCCAAAATCTGATCTCTCAATTAAGAAGAGAGAGTTGTCCGAAATAAAAATAAAAAATTAAGAAGAGAGAGAGAGAGAGAGTCACCTGACTTTCAGCGAGAAGGTGTCTGACGTGGCCAAAGAAGAACAGCGAGATTTGTGTCTTGAAAAGCTGTGAGTCGCGAGTGAATGAAAGAGTGAAGAGCCCTCTCTCTCTCTCTGTATAAGCTACAAAATAAGGAAACCCTAAACACCTGAGCAAAGCTGAAGACTGAGTCAAGAACAAGACACCGCCTCAAAGACGCGAAAAAGAAAGAATCCAAACAAAAATTCACCCGCTATCTCAAGGCAAAGAGGGAGGGAGAGAGAGAGAGAGAAGAAGAAGAAGAAGGAAGAAAGAAAGACGAGGAGATGGTGTTTGATTCGTTTGTGACGAGGTATGTGTTGCAGGCGATGTGCATAGAGGATATGGACCAGGTTTAGGTGTAGGGACTGAGAAATCTCGGTGGATGAGAGGGGCGGAGACCAAGGCGGCGTCAGGGTGGCGCGTGCGGGTGGTTTTTAACCGAGGTGGTGGTGGTGGTGGTGGCGGACCCGGTGGTGGCTTTGTCAGTACTCAGACCCAATCCAACCCTCCCCTCTCTCTCTCTCTCTCTCTCTCTCTGCGTGTCTGTCTCTGTCTCTCTCATTCCACTTTCATGTCTCCTTCCTCCAACAGTGAATAGTGATGTCTGTGTGTCTATCCTCACCTCTACAGTCTCTACTGACTCCCGAGTCTTCCATACTTCATTAAACTAATGATTTTCGGGGGGTGCTGTTCAGTTCGTTCTGACATCATTTGGTGCCACTTGGGAGGTCAATTTTCGCTATATTACTACTCGATTACCATGGCGCCCCCAATCTCGGGAAAGGACGGTTGTGTCCTGAGCTCGTGTTGGTTTTGATTACCTTAGGATCCCTACAGAGTTTGCCCTGGCTATTAACTGGAATACAAATTGATGTTGACCATGTATATTACCGCTTTTCTAAGTTCTATCCGAGGTTAGTTTCCTCGTTCTAAAAGTTGGTGAGTAGTAGTACTTTTGGAATGTTTTGTAATGAATGTCTTCAAATTAGTGGTGGTGCGATGGGCATGATATGTAAGGTTAAATTGGACAGATGACGGATCCATCCAACATTCCTAAACATCGAGAGACAACACAATTAAATAGTCAAATGGCCCTTAGAGCGCTACACGTGCACCATGCGACGAAAAAAGAGTTGCTTGATACCAGACATGTGACAACACCGCTCTATTCACATAGGGTAAGATGGCCTAATCACAGGAGTACTTAAGTAGCGTCCATTTTATTTGTATCTTTTTTCTTTTCATGAATTACAATAATGTCGTCTCGTACACCCAGTAAAATTTCTCATATGATTACTCTCGCCTCCATTTGATCCTCGTTTAGGGACCTCGTCCGTTCTCGAATCACGAAATTTATCAAATGGTATCGTGCTTCAATGTTGATTCGTAGTGAGCCAATCTCATTTATGTTGACTCAAATAAAAAATTTTATCAAATGGTATCGTGCTTCAATATTGATTCGTAGAGAGCCAATCTCATTTATGTTGACTTAAAGCTCTCAAACGAATGACTCAAAACGCGATAAGGTACTACTGGGTGTATGCTTAATTGTTCATGAATAACCAACCATACAAGCTTTTTAGCAAAAAAAAACCAACCATACAAGCTACCCTTTCCTCTCCATACGTGATTAGGGCATTACTAATTACACGATAGGCAAACCGAATGCGACAAAAAAAGGACAAGGTGGTACGAGAGTGCTTGACCAGTTGACCCCACCTAGAACAGAATGGCGCTATCGTCTGTTCACGAAGTGCCGAGCTTGAGGGGGAGTTGTTGTAACTCCCCGCAGACTCCACGTCATCCCTCATTCCCGACCAGAACTCTTGATAAATTCTCAATAAGACAGTTTCCTCAGTGTCCAAACTCAAAACCCTGACCGCAAGGAGAGATCCTTAAGTATGGCTTAGTAACGTTAATCGGAGTGACTATCTAAAAGAATGTTGTTTAGGGTAAGAACTCATATGGAAGACTTTGCAATAGTGGGTCTCTTCCTGTGCCTGGTGCTCGATAATAAGAGCCTTGTAACTGAATATATGTGAGTCGAGACATTCGAACTTGGCACCCGAAGGTAGGATCGAAACGGCACCACCTCGAGATGGTGGTTCGCCCGGACGCTGGTGGGATCCCTAATCATGGGCTAAGAATACAAATTCATCCGATCCAGTGATCGGATTTTCCTCTTCGGGTGCTCGATTGACGATCTCTGTTTGAAGTGGATCTAGATCATCAGGAGCATTCCTGGTGAAAAGATTGCTCGAGCTCAATTGAGCCTATCTTCGGGTACAAGCCCATCATCGTTCCAACCCACAAGCAGGATGGACTCAAATCACGTTCAATCTAATTCTGTTTCCTTCTAGATGAAAAATTCCAAAGTGATTTGTCACATTACGTTCATTCTGATTCTGTTTCCTAAGTAAATCTACTACGATCATATACTGCTACTGCATTTAAATAAACCAATGACAATTGTCGAAGTATTGAACGTAATTTCGTCCAAAACAGATAGTAATGACAGCATGCTCTAAGACAAGTTATCCAGTTGGAAAATGCATGGGTCGACATTTATTCTCTCCCCAAGAGGTTCATTTCATGTCTCTCAAAAACAACAGAAGATCGAATTCATCATCACATAATACAAGAGGATCAGAGTTACCACTTCCTTAATACTTCTTATCATCGATATCTCCGACCTTCCTCACCCTGACAACACCCTCGTCCACCCTCTTCCCTCTCTGGAAGTCGTCGTCCTCGTCTTCGGAGGAGGAGGATGTCCCGACGACCGTGTCCTTGATCTTCTGGGTCGTCTCCTTCGCCTTACCCCACGCCCCCTGCACCGTCTCCTTCGCCTTCTCCCCCATGTTCTGCACCACCTCTGCCGCTTTAGCACCCCCATCCTTCGCCTTCTCCACCACAGTTCCCGCCGCGCCTTCGGTGCTCTCCGCCGCGCCCGTCTCTTCACCCTTCCCTTGCCTTCCCTTGCCTCTCCACGCCTCTCGCAGCCTCCTTTGAAGGGATACACCGTCTCCTTCACCTTAATCTCGCACATACTTGAGGTGCGCGCCCGCCTCTCCCTTGCCTTCCCTTGCCAATTCTCCACTGGCAACTTCTCTGCAGGCCTCCATTTGTCATCATTCTTGGTCAATCAACCATCAAACTTCGTGCGGCTTTAGTACGGAAGTCGAACTATTTTCTACGGCCTTCTCCTACCTTTTTGAAATATTTATATCAATGCTTGTGGAAATTGGATTCTTAGCTAAATAAATAGCCCCTGATTATCACATCTCACCCATGGCACATTGCTCAAACGGTGAGCCATCTGCCTCCCTGCTCAGTGCCAACTCAATGCAAAGCACGGACTATGGTCTACTACAAATCTCCACCCAATCTCTTGGTGCTGTGCGCGGTCTCCTTGGCTCCCGGCCACCGACTACGCGGTCGACTTGGACTTGTCCTTCATGGCGTGCGTCTATCATATTGAATTTCTTCAATATTTCTTTTATGTATTTCTCCCCGCCCTAGCCACGCTTCCGTTTCTCACGGTCCCTCCTAATCTCGCATGCCCAAAATAAAATTTGCAGTGCCCAAGTCTTTCATTTCGAACTTTTTGGCGCAAACTCTTCACGTAATTCACCATCTTCACACCTTTGTCATCTCCTTGGTCTCGTGGCCTCCTTGGTCTCGCCCCCATCTCCGCTTGCCCATCACCGCAGCTCGACTTGGACTTGTCCTCATGGCCTCTCTGGCCTTCTCCTTCATCTCCTCAGCTCTCTCCTTGGCTCTCTCCTTCGCCTCTTTCATGGCTCTCTCCGCCTCATCAGGGAGCTCCATCAGCAGCTCGTCGGTCTCGTTCATGGACTCCTTGGACCGGTACGCCATGTCGGCCCTCGAGTCCCTCGGCGGGTCTCGGTTCTTATCAACCTAAAACCAATACGAACAAAGAAAACAAAAGCATATCAACCAACGATAAATTCTTGTGTAAGTAACAAGAGTGTAACGTATAATATCCACATGATTACCTCATCGGAGTACTTGGAAGCATGAGAACCGAAGGATATCCCGGAAAGCTTGCAAGAACACCTGAGAGAGACTGAGGATGCAGACTGATGGAAGGAAGGCTCTTGCGAGGTTGAAGATTGCAGTTTTGGCCATGGACATCGCGGCCATTGCTAGGGTTGTGTTTCTTTAGCACTCTCTTTGTTCTCTCTTCTCTTCTGTGTTTCTGCTCAATATTTGTTCTTCTGGTTTACACAAGAGTCATCGTCCATGGCCACATGCAGGTTATATGGAGCGGGTTGACGACGTGGCTTCGTGTTGGATTGACACGTGGGCTATCCTAAGGGACAGGTGTCATAAGGTGTTCTTCTCGGTGTTTGGCTGGTCAACACTTGTTCTTTGCTTCCGTTGCTTTTTATAATATGTCTAAATTTTTCTTTGCATTTGGAATTATTCAAAAATGAGAAATTAATACCATGTAGGTGGAAAGGGGGGAGGCCTACTGGTACCGGCGGTACCGGCCACGGTGGCCGGAGGGGTGAAGCTGTGGGTAGCAAAACAATCACTCAAGTGCTTTCGGCGATATATCCCAATGATTTATTCTATGACTTTTTAAATGGAAATTTTTGAAGACTCAAGAACAATAAAAAACTGAAGCGTGAAAAAATCTAAAGAAGAGGAGAGATGAGGCCCAGGCTCTCTGTTCATTCAGAATTTTTAAGTCTTTAAAAATAGGCAATACATGACAGAAACACCACCAAAAAATAGGACCATAACCACCCATGATCTGCATAAACCAATTACTCCACTAACTCCTAAAGACTAGGACAACTAACTCCTAAAGACTAGGACAACTAAGAAACAAATCATCAGCTAAACGTGCAGAAAATAACTATTATTTCAACAATCCCTCCCTTAAACTGATGTTTGCTAACATTCAGTTTAAAGCCTTGACTGTTTTTAGCGTGCGAACACCTAGTAACCTTCTGAGCTTCACAAACGACTCCATCTTGAGGGCCTTGGTGAATATATCAGCAACCCAATCTTCACTCCTACAGTAGATTAGATCAATTGTTCCATCATTGCTAAGATCTCTCAAGAAATAAAACTTCACATCAATGTGCTTGCTTCTTTCATGTAGCACAGGATTCTTGGAGAGTTTGATTGCTGAGCTGTTGTCACAAAAAATTTTAGTAGCTCCTAGTTGCTTGAATTGCAACTCCTCAAGAATTCTCCTTAGCCAAATAGCTTGACAAGCACAAGCTGTAGCAGCAACAAATTCGGCTTCTGTACTTGACAAGGTGACAATTGGTTGCTTCTTGGATGACCACGAAATAGCACCTGTCCCAAACATAAAAGCATAACCCGAAGTGCTCCTCCTATCATTTTGATCTCCTGCATAATCACTGTCAGTAAACCCCAACAAATTGGACTTTTCACCCTTCTTGTAAAATAGCCCAAAGTCTCTAGTTCCTTGCAAGTAACGAAGGATTCTCTTGGCAGCCAACAAATGCATTTCTGTAGGATTCTCCATATATCTACTGATTAAACTCACAGAATACATTATGTCTGATCTTGTT